GCTGAAGGAATAGATGGAAGGAACGTGATTTAAAAAGGGAAGGCATGTAAAGAAAAAAGATGAAGAAACAAGAAGAATATGAAGAAAAAATGTTTCAAAACCCACTCGTGGGGTTGCCGCATAACACAACGGTAAACGATGAGTAACGGGCAAATATAGACCATAGCAACAGATAAAACCTAGAAAATCAAGGCAGAGAAAGATTTTTGACAGTTAGTAAATAAAGTGGACAAAACATATAAAGGTGAAGAGAAATAAAAATAAAACATGGGTTGTCAAGGTGCTACAAATAAGAAGAGAGAAAGGAAAGTGATAGAGGAACAAAGGAGAGATGAGGAGAAGGAAGAGATGGAAAGGGAAAAGATATCAAGGAATCAGATTAAGCGCAAATTAAAAGAGCTGTAGGAAATGCGAAAGCGGTAAGGAGGGATTACGTAAGTCTTGAATATATAACTTTGTAGGTACGCTACACGTAGATAGTCCAGGCTAAATAGCTCTAAAATCATTTATTTTTCAAAAAAAAATTAGTTACCGGGCGAAACCGGGTTTTTCAGGCAGGTGAAATGAATAGAAATTGGGAAAAAATAATTAAAACAGCTGAATTTTTCCGCGGGTGAAATCCCGGGGGTTGAAAGGGGTGGAAACTGGTGTTTTGCAAATTATGGCAAAACTATTAACTTTAGACGAAAATGTTAAATATAAAAGTTATAGAGATTAAAAAAATGAGCAACTTTTGTATCTACACTATTTTCACATAAAATCCAATTTTCCTAGAAAAACCGAAAAACTGTTTTTTTCGATTTTTATTCATATTTTTGCGAAAAAATGTCGTAGGGGTTTGAAATTTGGAGGAAACATAGCTTGTTTTATAATAAAAATGAAGATAATTTTTTGGGCTTGTAAAATTGAACCGTTTCCAAGATCTCACGATTTCTGAAAAAAAAACACCTATTTTTCAAGGCGATGAAAAATCTATTTTTTTTCATCGTACAGAGGTGCGCGGGTTAGCAAAATTTTCGTAACGACATACATTTTAATAATCAAAAATAAAAAATATTATTCCAATTGAAAAATTTTAAGAAAAGTAGCAAAAACTGAGGGAACAGTTTTAAGGTATACCGTTTTTGACAGTAGGTAAATAGCTTTTTTTGCAAATAAATTAACGTATTAGATCCGCGCTAATATAAAGTTTTTGAAATCTGTCTTCTCTCCCCTCTTTAATGTTGTTAAAATATGTTCTTTTATTTCCCAGTGCCCAACTGCCTTAATTAAAACATCTTTATTATTTCTTTTTTGTGCATTTTTTCCGCAATAAAAGCAATTCGAAGTAAAATCGAATTCTTTTGCTTCCTGAACAATTTGTTTTTGTTCAATAACTCTTCTTCCTGCCTATTTTACAGCTGATGGGATTAAGCTGGCCCTGTTGATCGTTTTACAGGAATTATGAATAACATCCTCATAAAGTTTATTCCAGGTTTTACATCTCAAATTTGCTTTGGTCAATGGCCGGTAAAACTAACGTTCTTATTTCAGATTTTGCAAGTTTTCAACAGGCCCAACGCAATTGCAGCAGCTATAAAACAGGCAGGAAGAAGAGTCAGTGAACAAAAAGAAATTGTTCAGGAATCAGGAAGCAAGATAATCCGATTTTATTTCGAATTGCTTTTATTGCGGAAAAAATGCAGAAAAAAGAAATAATAAAGATGTATAATGGTCAGTATAAAACATAAACATAAGCATAAGCATAAGCATAAGATAATAAAAGAGAATATTTAAGCAAACATTAAAGAAGCAAGAAAGACAGATTTCGAAAAAATCTTTTTTATTATACCTGAATCACAATCTCCGTTTTAAACACTCAAATGCGTGCGAAAAAAGGCCTTTAAAACACACGTGCTTTAAAGTTGCTAAGTAACGATACTTCAAGTATGACTTTTGAAACTGTCATCTGGGGCTGAAATAAAAGATCCTCTTAGGTCGCTGTCTGTAAATGCAGAACATTTCTTTGGCTTGTACCTATCCTTTGGTTGAAGGTTTCACAAACGCGCGTAATTTAGGGTATGCTTCCAAATCTGTTCCACTTTTTAATCGCAGCATTGTTTGAAGTTTTGAGTTAATGCACCAAAAGATAGGAGATTTAAATACCTTTGACATTTCCTTCATATATCCCAGCATTATCGATGCATTTAAGACTTTATTCGTAAGTAACTTCCTTTTCATCCATGGAAACAACTTTTCATATTCTTTATAATAGGCTTTACTAGATTTGGATTTTACACCTACCAACGTTTGTTTAGATTTTACAACAATCGATTTAATGGACGGTGTATTATCTTTTTCAACGGAAATCGTTTAATTCACAAAGACGATAATTTTTATAAGCAAACGTCAAGTGACATTTCCATGGCAATCGTGAAATTACGAACACCCAGCCCACTTAATTAAACATGTATTCGAGTTTAACGTCAATATGATTTCATTGTATTTCCTATTTTTAAATTATACTACATGTATAATAAAAAATACTATAAGATACACGTGTATAATTGGTCTTTAAAGCACTTGCAACGTTAAAGGCACTCCGCTTTGCGTCGTGCCCTTAAACTCGTTGCGCGTGCTTTAAAGACTTGATTATACACTTGTATCTTAATATACTATATTAACATCCAATATGTTGGTTTATCATGTCAAAAATCGTGTATATCTTAAAACTGTTTTTCCAGTTTTTGGCGATTTTCTCGAATTTTTGCTATAGGAATAATATTTTTTTATTTTTGTTTATTAAAATATAAGCCTTCCCGAAAATTTTGCTACCCCGCGCACCTCTGTACGATGAAAAAAAATAGATTTTTCATCCCCTTGAAAAAGAGGTGGTTTTTTCAGAAATCGTGAGATCTTGGAAATGGTTCAACTTTATGGGCCCAAACAATTATCTTCTGTTTTATCATAAAACAGGCTATGTTACCTCCAAATTTCAAACCCCTACGACATTTTTTTCGCAAAAATAAGAATAAAAAACGAAAAAAACAGTTTTTCCGGTTTTTCTAGGAAAATTGGAGGTTATGTGAAAATAGTGTAGATACAAAAGTTGCTCATTTTTTTAATCTCTATAACTTTTACATTTAACATTTTCGTCTAAAATTAATAGTTTTGCCACAATTTGCAAAACACCACTTTCCACCCCTTTCAACCCCCGTGATTTCACCCGCGGAAAAATTCAGCTGTTTTAATTATTTTTTCCCAATTTCTATTCATGTCACCTGTCTGAAAAACCCGGTTTCGCCCGGTAACTAATTTTTTTTGTCAAAAAATATTATATAGCCTGGACTAAGATGGATCTGTGCTTTCTTGATCTTATATGTCAATATTTGAACTTTGAACCTCATCTCCGGACATACTGTGTATTGCTTTATAAATGACTATTGGACCTGAACGAAAGAACGCTAAACTACGTATGAAACAAAGAGATAACCGTGAATTAAGATACTAGTAGAAGTGAGAAAGCGAACTGATGAAGGACTGCTTGTAGACAAGGATGAACACAAAAGAAGAATGGTATGAATAACAGAAAAATTATTACGAAAGAAACGGGTGTAGATAAAAGGAGGTAAAGAGAATCTGTAAGAAGAACTAACAAGAAAAGACACAAACATATCATTGCAACAACAGGGGGAATCTGGAATTTACGCTGGAGCAAAAGGTATAGGAGTGGATTCCAAAGGATTTAATAAAAAAAGTTGAGGAACATATTATATATAATATCGAAGTTTTGATGTGAAAATTAGAGAAAGACCGAAAGAAAACGGAGAAGAAGGAAATTCTGTGGTGAGAAAGTGGAGAATATCAATCATGTGATACGGAACGATAGAGAGATTGGAATGACTAAGAAAACCAGGAAGAAATATTACTGATGAAGAGGAAAGGGGAGAGAACTGGATGAAGAACATTGTTAAAAAAAAGGAGAGGAGAAATCTAACGGAGGGAGCTGAAGACAAAGAGAACGAGTAATAATTTATAGAACCAGGAAAGAGGGAAAAGAAGAGGGGTTGAGACGAGCAAAAGAAACATTTATGTTGAAGGATGGTATTTTTGTATTTTTATATACGTATGATACGCATGAACAATGGTGTTTGTTCTTGTTGAGATCTTTCATTGGAGTAGCATAAAAGATAGAAATATGGTTACCACCCCTTCCCTACACACCATCACACCTGTCGAAAAGGTTGGTCAAGATATTTAGTTAATAGATCAATGTTTTTGTGCAATGTGCATTAAAATAGATTGATAGGTAAGATTTTTATGGGTCATTTTTTGCAGTGAATTCAATAATTAGGCTTTTTCCATTCCATGAGACTTAGTTGGAGCCGATCCGGTATTTCCAAAGTTGGCCGACACAAAGGGTAGTTTTAGTTGCTGTTGTAACGGGAGTCCCGCTTTTCATCTTTAATTTGTTTAATTTTATTTTACATATGAAGAAAATTACATGCATACTCTTTTATACGCGTAGTAAGCGCAAAGTAAGTTTGTTAACGATAATAAACGGACGCATCTAAAGCGAACCTAAAATCTTAGCGCCTTTGGAAAGCGAAAATTGCTTTAAAATAGGACGCCAAACTCCAAAGTTTCGTTGGTTCCGTTTTAGTTTAATATAAATAGCTGAGCGTGCGGTTAAGTTAAAGTTAATACCCAGCGATCGAATTACTACAGTGGGTACAACAGCCGGTAAACAATTTAATTGTCAAAGTTGTAGGTTTCTTCCTTTCTCTCAGAGACCCCGGACAGCTACTTTGTGTGTGAGCCTCACCTGCTGTAGACGTACGAAGTACGAAGTTTTTAAACTTCGGGACCCTGTTGTTACCACAGATGGTTCTCCATGATCCTCGTTTGGACCTTCGAATGCAATGAGAACGGGGGCACATTTATTTCGGGCCTTTGTAGCTCCCTGATTCTTGTGCGGCGAATAACTTTGCAATATTGGAGACATTGAAAACAATTTTTACGTAAATATCTATTTATTGCGAATATTTAAATCCCCTTATTTACATTTCCAAGGTGTTTTGGCGATCCCTCAGCCAGTCTGATATTTGGTCAATGTAATCAATCTCGTACTGCTCCAAATACTCCTTGGTAAAGAAGTTCGCCGGTACCAGCTTGGCGTTTTCCGAGTTTTGATAAAGTTCCACCTGATCGGTAAGGCGACTTGGAACTATTTGTGTAATCGTGTCTGCAGAATTAGCTTCTTCCAAGCTGAAAGCGGACTATTAACGATTTTGTGTTCTACGTTCATAAACGAACCTTGAATTTTGAGGAAGGGTTTGGGTAGTTGCATAGGTGAGTACCACTTCGCGACCCACCACGTTGTTTTCTATCATGTTAACGAGCGCTTTCGTGCGGTGAGCCGTCGTTATTGCATTGGTGTAGTCATAGATTTGGCCCAAGAAGCTACGAGGAAGCAACAATATCACCTTAAGTGCAAACAAGAAGATCCCCTACCTGTGCAACATCAGTCTGTTACGTGTGCAGGCTAGCGCCATTATGTAGATAATTTGATCATTGGGATCGGCTTTGTAATACTGCTGAAATAAAAAGTCCCATTCGTGCTGATTGGCGTTTTGCATTGCCCCACAAAGGAAATGGAACTTTAGATCTGTGGGTATATCGAGGCGACCAGTTCGTTGCCACGTCTTTATCTTGTTCAACCCGAACTGTTGGCATCTCTCATCGCCGTAGAGGCACAACCTTCGCACCACAATCACGCGGGTTAACTTGCGAATGTGAGTGTCGCGTATCACCTCTTCGGGTCCGATGTGCTCGTACGCAAAGTTCAGCAACTGGATGACGTATTGCTACAAACGATCCTTTTCATCCCTCTCTTCTCCCTTACTTGCTCACCTGAAAGATGGGATACTCGGGAGTTACGGCGACCATAAAGTCGAAACTATCGATGCGTTTAAGGAACGGTTTTAGTACTATGTAGTCGGTTTCTTGTTTGATAAACTCGCTTAAATCTAACGCAATCTTCGCATTCAGTTTAGCGTCCTCCACCAATTGGAAGGCGTCATTTACCAATTGCGCTCTGTTTAAGGGATGTATCGACTTAAATGCGTATGTCCTTAAAAACTCGATGATCCGATACCAGTTGATGGTGTCGTAATTCACTCGGAAATAACCTGAAAGTAAAATCAAATATACGTTATTAAATAAACTACAAAGTTTTCTTTATGAGGTTTGTAGCAAATATTCCAGAAATTCCCATAGACGTCGAGGCGCCACGAAAAATAAGTCATCGGCGATAAAGAACCAAGGCCTTCCGGGAAAAATGACGTGTTTCTAAGAGCATTCTAGAACAATATTGCCGTTTGCTATATATAAGTTTCGAGTCAGTTCCAACTTCGATGCGCTTGTGTTATGTTATAAATTGTAAGTGATAAAGAATGTTATTATTAATCCATTTTAAGACTGGGCAAATAGTTAGAGGTAGGTCTATGTACATTCAAATTGGTTCTTCCTCCATACAACTGTATGGGAGAAATGTACGAGGTTAAGTCGTAAGAGCACTAAGACAGAATTTCCTTCGAAGCAGAACTTCGCCTTACAAATTTTATTCTATTGAATTTTTTGAGGTTGATTACAATAAAGTTAAGTTAAATAGGGGAAGGGGGACTGATGAGAGTTCTCAACATTTTTTTAGATTGTGATTCTGTAAATCTTGATCTAAAGGGGGCGTTGGATAAAAGGTCACCACGGAGCACGTATAAACGAGACGACTTCGACATAAATCGAACACCACTTACCAGCATGCTGTTTGTTGAGTATTAACCAGCTGTCAGAACGGAAGTCCTTCAACGTCATCGTCTTCTCAGTCATCCAAAAATCGGTCATGGTTTTTGCAAAGCTCGATCCTTTTGCACCGTGCAAAACGTACGTAATCGGAATGATCCACACACTACTGTCACCAGTGGAATTATCCGCGTTGTAAGTCTCCTACTCAACGTCGTTACCAATCCTAAATCGTCATGGAGGTCACTTACCTGCGTCAAAGTTAGACTTCCTGTCCTATAATCACGCGTGGCGGTAACTACAGGGTATCCGACGTTTGTGTCCCAGGTTCCCCAAATTTTTTTCATGGGCATGCCGTCCAGGAGGTACCCGGCGTTCGCGTGGTCAACAGCAGTTTGCCACGCTCTGTAGAGGTCGCTCGGTTGGCTTGTACTGAATTTTCTATAAGAAAATGAAGTTAAAATAGGTATTCATTAGCTAAACTTACTTTCTCTGAAGGTATATTCGCAGACCCTCCCTGAAAAGTGGCGGAGTCAAGAAATGCTCGGTCATTTTGATGATCGCCGACGCTGAAAACGGAACAAATTACTTCGAAAGGATGCGGTTAGTGTTAAAACCTTTGTAATAGTACATCCAAGGGGACGGAAATGAGTTAGCGTCTTCGAACACATAGTTTAACGGATGTGCCATGGGAATTAGATCGCCGGTGAATGCCTTGTGGACTTCCTCGATAACGAACTGCTCTCTCAGTCGCCACGATGGCTCCACCTGAAATGAATGTAGCAAATTGTGTGGTTTTGCTGCAATTGCGTTACCATATCTGTGGCATGGTACTGAAAATAGGCAGCGAATCCTTCGCTTAACCAGATATAGTGCCACGATTTGGGAGTCACCAGGTTTCCAAACCATTGGTGGGCGAGCTCATGGGCCGTGTAGGTTGTACATCTTTGCAAATCTTCAGTGGTCGAAGTTGACTTGTAGTACAGCAGATGATCGTCACTTAAACATACTTTGTTTAGAAATCATAATTTATCAGTCACCAAGGTCTATAGTAACATCAACGGCTTTCCAATAAAACTCTTGATTTACATGGGGCGTTATTCATTGGTTTAAAAAAACAAAAATTGCAAAAGAGGGAAGATTAATGCCCATTAACGTTTTTACAAACATGGGAATTTGAAACCTTTTTTTCGTGGGTATTAAACGAATTTCTTTGTGCGGGGTGAATTTTACCCTCTTTCTGAATCATATTGGGAGTACCATATTTCATTGCCTGTAACAATCGTTTGCAGAAAATCACTCCTTTTCTGAAATGGCCAGCTCTTAATTATTCTTGTTCAACCGTTAAACTGTATGGAACAAATTTTGCACAGCCTTTTGTTTTGTCCAAATACTCGTGAAGAATCGTCTCTTATAACGGAAGTCCGCCAACGTGTTTAAATTTCTTTTTTATGAGAAATACAGGGTGATCTAATTAGGGTTCGGTTTCTACACAATTTTATTATTTTCAAAGTGAATGAATTTGGCGATCTACATATATTTTGTGAGTAATTGGCTACCGGATGATTGTGATAGTTACCGGTTAATTGCCTGTTAAAAGTTATCGGCGCCAGTCTGACGGGCGATAACACAATCTTAATGTCTTGCACCTGTGACCTGACCAAAACAGCTGAACTACACACACACACAACCCACAGTGATGTCATGGAACAACCGTGAGAAGGCGAACTCAACGGTCTTGAAATCTAGCGGGTTTCCATTGATGGCCGATGTAGTCTATTAACGCCATTTCGTAGGTTGGTTTTGTAAAAATGAAAAAGTCGGGTTGAAGTAGAATGCAAGTATCGGTTTTTGGGGCATTATCCGGTAATATGTCAGTGGGAAATTTACGTTTTTGGCTCTCGCTCTCGTGTAACAAAAGTTACGGCCACGCTACGTCGTCAGTGTAATAAAGGAATATAATTATTAGTATTTTAGCGCATTTTCCAAAAGGAAAATGAACGGCATCCGTATTTTGCCCGTCTGCCTGTCCGTCTGTACCACTACAAGTCCTCCAGTTTAGGCTTTTTCGTTGTGGTTTCTTTCTTATAATATACAGTGTAGCACAGCCCCGAGACCAGAACGATACAAGATTTTTTGTATTAGCACTTCCTTCCCGAGTTATTACTGATTCTGTGCGGCTAAAATTCGCATTCGTCATCGCACCACTAAACTAACTGCATTCATTTTTGTACCTAACAGTACTAAATAGTACTGTTGGTTATTTATTTGTGTAACGGGAGCCCGCTTATTTAAATGTTGTCAATTTTTTACGAAACGTTTTTAAGTTATCGTGCAAATGTGTAAAATAGCACTGCATAATTGTATTTACCCGTTCACATGAATTGTATGTACGAGCAGGGATATCAGTGAACCGTCGAGTTTCGTTGATTCCGTCTGTATAAAGCCGAATAGATAAAAATGAGGGCCTGCGATTGGTGAAAAGTGTTAGTTAGTCGCGAAAGTTGCGGCGGTTCCGGTTCTAAGAGAAACAGAGATGCAACGACAGAGTGATAGTTATAGATCGTCCGACCTAAAATTGAAAATGGGAAATAAAGCGTCTACCCCTTGAATTCGCGCGCCTTGCAGAAGGTGGGTCATTTCGTCCCTAGGTAAAAAAGCAACATTCCGGCACGTAGGAGTTATGCGCGTTTATAAGATCTTTCCGACGACGCCAGTTGGAAATGGGCCCAAAACTGTAGAAGATCGGGAAAAAAACTGAAAATGATCACCACGCTCGGTAATGGCACCCAGAGGCCCCGTCCCTAAAGTTGTTAGTTACACGGCCGGGTGTACACTTCTCGTCTTTCTACAAGCGATCCTTCATGAGTCCTCATTTGCTGCCAGCCAGCCGGCCGGCCGGCCGAAGTGAGATTAAAACCTACTTTTTTACAAATATATTTATAAAAATGCGCTAAAAACGCAAACCGTCAGTGAGTCGAAGTTCGCGAATAGTGGTAATTAAGCGAATTTCAAAGAACTCCTAAGTTATTAGTACATAAATATTACGATAGAATGAAAGTTCGTGACGCATGTTCTTAAAATAAATCGACGGTAAAAGAAAACCAGATTTAGTGGCTGTAAAAATAGAAATTGCCAAAAGGAAAACTAACGCCATAGATCGCAAACCTTAAAGTTTCGTCGACAAGTAAATTAACCAGCGTACGTGCAACTTCGTATTGAAAATTCTCGCATAAATTTATACAATTACAAGCAGGCGTTTCTGGCGAAAAATCATAAGAGTATATTTTTTGATTAATAAAAGTCTAATTCAAAGCGAAAAAATAAGCAGTGTCGTTTCGGTGCATAGTCTTGAACTCGTTTGGCCTCGTATTGCGGAAAGCTAGTTTGAATGCAGTCGATATCAATAAAAAGTTTATTGTCCGATCGTTTTCCTACATCAAAAGGTAGCTACGAATATTAAATTTGATGGAATAAATGATGAGAAAGAAATAATTTCAAAAAAGTTAAGCTGGAAGCACGGTTTTCCGGACGGAATTGGTCCGGACCGGACGACAAAGATTCCCATAATGGTTTTAAACGTAACTGCGCACACTCGTCTGGATGGAACCGGTCCGGAACGGACGGCAGATCGATACTGATGAAAAGAGCATTCATCGGCAAACATCCGTTCCGGCCCGGTTCCGTCCTGATAAGTGGGCGCATAATGGAATCGGAATTTTTGCCGGTCGGGTTCGCCGATTCCGTCCGGAAAAAATGTGCTTCAACCTTAAGTGTTTATTGTAATGCTTTTTGCATTGTTAGTTTTGTTTTTTGGCGCGTAAATGAACGTTTTCCGACACGGGAACAGGCGACATGAAATTTGCCATGTGAAAATCATGGATTTTCCTGATTGATCCCACAAACACGGACGACTGCCTTTGTGATTATGCGTGATGGTAATCCAGGCATTTCCAGCGAACTTAAAAATTCCGTTGGATAGCTCTTGTCTTGGTTAGTAACGAAATCGACTGATTTGTACGATGTATCATCGATTCGCCGTTATTTTAAATGGTGTAATTGTGGGGAAGTAACTGCGACCCTTGTTTTGTTTTAGATTTTAAACGTTTCTCAAAAGAAGGAGCAACCTGGCAAACGCGCAAAGTTTAATTCTTCGTTAAGGTTTCTGCAATTTTCATTGCGTCATTGCGGTAGAAAATTAATTTTATTTTGTACTAACGAGGGTTTTCAATCCTTGTATTGTAACATATGCCACACATCCATATCCCCCGTACGGTGTAGCACCATTTAAACTGTACCCAGTACAGGTGTTCAATCTCGTTAGGAGATTTGGGGGCAAACCGTCACTCGTGCCGATTGTAAACTGTTCCTCACACCCTCGTAAAGTAATTGAGCAAAATGGCTTTCATTCAACGTCACAAGTTTATACAGGGTGGCCATTTGAAAACTAAACAGAGCCTATTTTGGGAACCTCAAAACATTTACGAAAAAATCCTCGGACCCGTCAATTTTTGATTCAAGGGGGAACCATTTTTTTGCTAGTTTCGCTCCCCTAAGAACAAAGCCCTAGCGGGGGTGACAAGTGCTCCCAAACTTTTAAATCGAATGGGGGGTCGAGTGATACCTTATTTTGAAGGTATTTTTATGTGGATTATAACCCTTAAGTTTTAAATCGCTACTAATTTGCCTAGCCGATACAGGGGCTAATAAAAGTTAAAAACGTGTCAACATTTTCTTATGAAAAAAATGCTTGTAAATGAATTAGTTAAATAACAAAAATTAATACAACAGTAAATACAAAAAATGTTGTTCTCCTACATTCTGAACCGTACTTTTTGTTGTTGTTTTTTTTCTTTTTAATACCTGTAGGTGGCTATGCCAATTCTGGAACAGAAATCTTGGTTATTGTTGAGAGCGTTACTATAGCAACATTTTGAAGTTTAATAGTGCTTGTCAATTGTTGTTGTCAAATAATAGTGGTGACAAATACACACCTGTCGCTATTGGGCTGATTCAAATCCCAGAATATTTCGTGAGGTGCATACACAACGTCCCGAAAAATTGAATGTTTGGGCTGGCATTTTTGGTAACCATATCGTAGGCCCCTTCTTTTTACCTGGCAATCTAACAGGAGAGATGTACTTGAAGTTATTAGAAAATACGATTCATCCAGCATTAGTGGAGATACTAGAAAATACCAACGAGTACTTGGAAAATCGTATAGTATTTCAACAAGATGGTGCGCCACCCCACTATGCTGCAAGGGTTCGTCAATATTTGGACCAAACGTTTCCAGAACAATGGATTGGAAGAAGAGGAGCTATTGAATGGCCTCCTCGTTTCCCGGACTTAAGTCTGCGACAAAGAATAATTGATGAATGTCGTCAAATCACCCCAGAAGTTTTGCAAAATGTACGGGAAAGGTTTGAACAAAACCTGTATTATTGTATGGAAGTCGAAGGCCTACATTTCCAACATTTACTTGATTGATTTTAGCTTTAAGCACTTAAAATAAAACTGATTTAAATCTTAAGAGTTATAATCTACATAAAAATACCTTCAAAATAAGGTATCACTCGGCCCCCCATTCGATTTAAAATTTTGGGGGCACTTGTCACCCCCGCTATGGCTTTGTCCCCGGGGGGGCGAAACTAGCAAAAAATGGTTCCCCCTTGGATCAAAAATTGACGGGTCTGAGGATTTTTTCGTAAATGTTTTGAGGTCCCCAAAATAGGCTCTGTTTCGTTTTCAAATGGCCACCCTGTATATACAATTCGTAATATCGCCCAAAACAATCGAATAAATCATACCAAATGAAAGATCTCACAGAGTTTAGAAAAGCAACTTCGCCTTACAATGATGAGAGACGCAATTCAGAAAACTTACCCATACATTATTAAACCCCAATTTTCCATTGCTCCGTCCAAAAAGTAACTGGACGGTACCGCCAATAAATCCACTTTGCTTAACGAGTAACGAAGTCCTGTGAAATCCTCCATTGCTCTCAGCAACCTTACAGCTTCATCTAAAACATACTCGCCACCGCCATTAGCTATGGCTTCCCTTCTCGCCAACACTCGCACTCGATCTATTTCCTTCGTGTAGACAAAATCGGAAATAACAAACGCCACCAAATACGTGGGCATCTCCACAGTCTCCCTGAAGGTGTCTTGGTACCGACCATGACCTAAATATCTAAGCCAACGCTTAACAACCCTATCGTCCAGACCACTTACATCGACTTTGCCAACTTCTCATTCGACGCCGAATTGTAATTTTCATCCCTAATTATACTCACGATGAACTTCGCCCTTAACCCTGGCTCGTCAAAGCACGGAAACGCGGTCCTAGCCCCATTCGGCTCAAAATGCGTAAGCGACAGATTCCTAAAGCATGGTAAGTTAGCGGAAAATTTCAGGGATAAATTGCTCACCGCTCTTTTCCATACTCATCGTTGTACTTCGCCAGGAAAAATCCAGATTTCTCATGTTGCAAATTACCCACGAACTTCTCAATAACCAGCTTGTACCTTTCGTGCTTGACTAGGTGTCCGCGCAAGAAGAGTATACACAGGTCCCGGTCTTCGTCGAAAATATGATTCACAATGTAAATCTCTCTTCCGATGGTGTCGTACAATCTGATCGGGCCCAAAGTTAGATCTTTCGAATGGAAGGTGATATTTTTGGTCACTGCCAAAACCTTGATGTCGATACTAACGCTTCCGCTGAACGATGTGTTTTTGTGGTGCTCGATCGTCAAGTTGTACCTGAACGGTCTCACATTCTTCGGCAGGTGATAGTACTGGTCCTGCGGAAAAACACCGCGGGCTAGAAAAGAAAGCGAAATCGAAATTGTCACTATTATCGGATGCATAACACTGGATGTTAATCAGCTGAAGTTATGCATGCTACTGATACAGAATCTTTTACGCGAGCTTTAAGGTTAGTACGTAGGTTCGATTATCGGACATGTCGAGATAGCAACACTTAAATTAGCACAGTATGTCAAAGAGAGGCATGGAAGACATCTTCACATGGCCGCCTTTTTTTAACTGTAAGATAATGGCCGCCGTTTCCGGGATGCTTTCGCGACCGATGTGTGGAAGAACTGCATATTGCAAAGATTTTGCATAAAAGTGCCGACAACAGGAATTAAACTGGTTTGCATTTATCTGAGCGCGATAACTAGTGTAAAATAAAATAAACAAATATTGCGAAACTGTGCTAAAAATAGCAATTGATATGCAGAATTTGAAGGCTCTTCCGTGCAAGTTGTCCTTCCAAATTTTATCTAAATTATTCATTGGAGATGGGGAAAAGATTTCGCACTGGAACTCGCATTCCCAAAATGAAAGTGGGAGGACATTTAGTGTGCATCTTCTGACATGTCAAACCTTGGGCTATGATAATTTTCATTTAGGAAATTGGTTTACCAAAATTGTCATGAAAAGGAAAACCCATTATGTTTGCTGCGAAAAGCAAGTTACCGAGTACGTGATGTATAACTTTATGCTTAGGAGATCGCATTTTGTATCTGTGCCGAAGGTAGGAGAGGAGTACAGGGTCAGCAAAAGCGTCCATTCTTCCGTTTTGTCTCAATAACTGTGCCTTCTGGCTCAAAAGTTTTCGTTCTCTTACAATTCCAAGATATACGTGGTCGAAGATGTGAAACGTTTAAAAAACATTGTTTTACTTTTCACTTACGTACCTACTTATTTCTTTTTTATTTATTATTTATTGTCCCTCTCTTGTTCTGGGCCTCAACAGGCTTGCGCCCATTTACAGAGTCATCCCCCTAACGCCTAATGCTTTTTAGAGGTGCCTCTGCATAAGGTCTTAAGTTTTATACTACTCCGGTATTTACCTTACAAATTTGGAAAACTGCAGGAAAACCTAATTCGGAGGTAATTTCCATCTCTGCCACAGATGAAAAATTCACCTCAACCCAGGTTCGAACACCCGACCTCCGGATTTATAGCCCAACACTCTACCATTGAGTCGCAAAACTTATATCTTAGATGTTTTCTTTTTAGCTTTTTGTGCTAAACATATTCTTGATAATCCAATTTACTCAAAAAGGACTATTCATTATTATGGATCTCCAATTCAAAATAAGTAACATTTAAGCCACGTTGAGTGACTTCCAACATGGTCAAAATTTTTTTTTGTCTATTGTTATTCCAACAAATTAATATTCAAAATATTAGTTTATATGATTTTTTTTTAATTTTCGAAATAGAGTCTGAAAAGGAATCATGCGATGTTGCCAACACCTAAAAATAAAAAAAACAAAGGCAATAAAATGTTTTATTGGGACTAATATTAATTAATTAATATTAAAAAAATGCCTGAAACCATTTCAAAAGTTTGTAACATAACGAATCCATTGTGCCGCACAAAATCTGTAGTAAGACATTTCGGTTGTTCTTTCACTTCGCAATATGAAAACCGTACAAAGAATAATTTCACCCCGAAATCCAAATTTTGTAGCTTGAAGGAATCATCAGAATCATTTTAAATCGCAGTTTTAAAAGGGAATTACAGTTTGAAACCCTTAATCCTAAAATGAAATTTCAAAAAAATTAAAACCATTAACAAATTTAAGTTTCATTTTGAAACTGAAGGTTGAAAGTTTTAAGTTTAAATCTTAACGTTATAATTTTTAAATATTGAAGATTCCACCAGCCTGAAGTTACATTCGCTTTTGAGATAGTACCAACCTAAATGGGGAAACAAAAAAATAACTAGGATCGGGCTGAAGTTACATTCGTTTTTTTTACCAACGGCCTTTAAAAGTGATGACACCGGGGCCAATTTTCATCCCCTTTTTGGAAAAGAACCCTAAACCTCGACAAATTCGTCCCCGAAGTTGACAAATTGCGCAAGTGTGTGCGTGAGTGAGTTTTGCACGCGGAGGCAAAGGGCTATGTGGTGGCCCAAGGGCTCACTTAAAAACCTCTACCTATCGTTTTTCCAAAAGTGGCCCACAGTTCGAAAAATTTCCTTTTGTTTGGTCAATGGCGCGGTATACGAATAATGCAAGTTGCAATTCAAAATTAATTTTTTTTAATTGAGCGAGTACGGGGAGGATAAGGGCGCCGTGGAAACCCAAGGGCTTACCTAAAACCCCCTGTCGTTTTTCGAAAAGTGACCCACAGTTCGAAAAACTCGCTTTTTTTGCAAATTGCGATATTAACACCATAGGTTTCCTCATCACCTTAGTGTGATATTTGTTGTCAACATTCAAATGTCACACAGGAGGTACTTGGTTCGATGCGTTACTCCTATATAGGGTGTGTGGGGAGTGGGGGCGTGAGTGTGCTGTATTAGCGTTGTTTGGTAACGGAAAAATAAATAAACAATTTTGAGTTTCCTAATTGTATTGAAATTTTACAATCTTCTCCCTAATATAAAAGAAAGAATCAAACAGGGTGTACTCTTTTTGTTGTGACGTAATCGACAGCAATAGAAAACATTCAATCGATTCAAAGAGACTAAAATAAAAAACAGTGTACACCCTGTATTTAAATTGGGGGAGTTCGCCGAATACTTCGGGAGATTGTGGCTGATTTGCCCTCCTCATATTATTAAAATGTTTGTTAATGTATGCGTTATATGTATTTGTTTAATAATCTGATATGTGACATATACCAGGTGACCCAATAAGACTGTTCCTCGGCCATATCTCGGGAGCCGTTGTTGTATGACTATTAGTAAAATTATCGAATCAATTAACAAACTATTTTCCTTTTTTTCTCTTAAATTTTATTTTATGTATTAATAAATATAAGAACGTTGGTATTGCGCAGTGTGCGCATGCGTAAATTAATCGTCAAGATTTTTCTTGCCTCGGGTGCCAGAACTGCCAAATTCAAAAAGAACGAATTAAATATATTGAAAACTGTAGAAGTAGTTAAGGCCTCGGACGGACGGACAGGCGGATGGACAGAGAAAGTGACTGCAATAGTGCAAAAAATATTCAAAATACGTATTGGTAACAAATTTATATAAATAAAAATAAATGACCGAAATGTATGTACGCGCATAACTTCAAAACGATTGCACCAAATTAGATCATTCTTTTTTGTTGTATTTGTTATTATCAGGGTAGGGTTTGTATAAAAGATATTTTTCAAAAAATTGTACGGAACGACGTAAACAACACTTTTTCCCTTTTTCGTTATTTTAAATCGCAATATAGCTAATAGATGGCGCCATTACTAATAAATAAAAATAAATGTTTGTATAGGTATATGTTGCAGCAAACCTCGTAACGGAAATTGACCACGGTTAGCCAGGGGAAACAAGTATTCTGGTGAAACAACCACCAAGGTTTTGACAAAGGTCACATAATTTTGAGCACCAGGCGTGTAGAAGTCACTCAAAAAAGTAAATAAAAATATAAAATAAGAATACAAGCTTTGTGATTCCTCGGGCATGGGTGGGTATAAGCTTTATCTTGGCAATGAACCATCCAGATACACAAATATCATTTAATTGCATAAACAGTACATAAATTAGCACTTTTGGTTGCATAAAACAGTAAATAAAATGGCAGCCTGTGCAAGGTTACACTTTAAATGCAAGTTTTCCCCTCAGCTGAGTACTTAGAAGCTATCTGCAACTGAATCTAATCTCTTTCACAGACAGACAGATAAATATATTAACTAAATGAATTGCCTTACGTTAACACTAACCACAAAGGCAAAAGATAAATTAAACTGCAATTTACAGTTGATTGGGCAGTAGCATTTTCTATATTTCTTGTAACGAATTGCAGAGCAGTTCGTCACGAAAGATAAACTAACGACAACGCTCGTAACGTACAAAGAAAAATATATATGTACAAAAACTACAATGCGAAACATCAGATCTAATTCCAATTAATTCGAACTTATGTACCCCATTAATAACTGGGTTTCAGATGACGAGGTAAATATAACAGAGGACTTAAATTAACATATATGGCATAACCTAAAACGAAACGTGTTAACAAAGAGGAATTCTATGAAAATGAAAATTCTAGGAAAATACCATTACCTAAAGACGATTACAGCCCCGCCCACACGCGTAAAGACGTTTAGATAATTAGTTTAAACAATTTTAGCGTGAGGCCTCTGGAATTTTCCAATTCAAATCGACATTCTTCGCAAAGATAGTTACCACGACAAAAGTGAAAGTGAAAGTCATGTCAATGCCAATGGTACCAACTACTCCTAGCACACTCAGTTACACACACCAGAGTACATTCAACGGAACATTACAATGTATATCTCCTATGCCTGGCTAAACCGTTCGGCCGATTGCGATGAAAATTTGGAGAATGATTGGACACACCCGCGAAGGTTTCTGATATAGAAAAAACAATTAGGGAAATTCCATCTGGAACGGGAAAAATGGGATTTTACCGCGAACAGGGTACAGGAACGAGAATTGCCGGGAACGAGATTTTATCAGGAACGGAGTGCAGAGACAGGAAAAAGTCTCGAAAAAGTACGAATTGAGTTGGATTCTACGCACCCAAATTAATAAGAAAAAGTGTTTTCCCGAGAAATTTTCGTGTAGTCGACTTTTGGTAAAAAAGGAAAGTTATACACTGTCTTTTTTTGAACCCCGACAAAAAAATTGTCTCAGATCGACCCGGGAAAAAATTTTCTTATAGAATGTGGCCTGTAGAATCCATAATTTCAAACAGTTCCAAGATTGGGCTACTAGTTCAAAAGTTACAGCCTTTTGAATTTTCTTTCGAAATTGGTTTCTAGTCCATAACTTTTGATTGAGAAGTCTGATCGAAAAAGTACGAATTGTTTTGGATTCTACGCCCCAAAACCAATAAGAAAAAGTGTTTTCCCGAGAAATTTTGGTGTAGACGATTTTTGGTAAAAAAGGAAGGTTATACACTGCCTTTTTTTGAGGTCCGAAAAAAAATTGTCTCAGAGCGCCCCGGAAAAAAATTTTTCTTATAGAATGTGACTTGTAGAATCCATAATTTCAAACAGTTCCAAGATTGGGCCACTAGTTCAAAAGTTACAGCCCTTTGAATTTTTTTTCGAAATTGGGTTCTAGTTCATAACTTTTGATTGAGAAGTGTGATCGAAAAAGTACGAATTGTTTTGGATTCTACGCCCCAAAACCAATAAGAAAAAGTGTTTTCCCGAGAAATTTTGGTGTAGTCGATTTTAGGTAAAAAAAGAAGGTTATACACTGCCTTTTTTTGAGGCCCAAAGAAAAAATTGTCTCAGATCGACCCGGAAAAAAATGTTCTTATAGAATGAGGCCTGTAGAATCCAAAATTTCATATAGTTCCAAGATTGGGCTACTAGTTCAAAAGTTACAGCCCTTTGAATTTTCTTTCGAAATTGGTTTCTAGTCTATAACTTTTGAGTTTTGATTGAGAAGTCTGATTGAAAAAGTACGAATTGTTTTGGATTCTACGCACCCAAATTAATAAGAAAATGTGTTTTCCCGAGAAATTTTGGTGCAGTCGATTTTTGGAAAAAAGGAAGGTTATACACTACCTTTTTTTGTTGCCCGAAAAAAAAAATTGTCTCAGATTGACTGGGAAAAAAAATTTTCTTATAGAATGAGGCCTGTAGAATCCATAATTTGAAACAGTTCCAAGATTGGGCTACTAGTTCAAAAGTTACAGCCCTTTGAATTTTCTTTCGAAATTGGTTTCTAGTTTATAACTTTTGATTGAGAAGTCTGATCGAAAAAGTACGAATTGTTTTGGATTCTACGCACCAAAATTAATGAGAAATAGTGTTTTCCCGGAAATTTTGGAGTAGTCGATTTTTGATAAAAAAAAGGAAGGTTAAGCATTCAAATGCTATGCGAAGTATTCGAATACTAAATATTTGTGAAAGTATTTGAGTTACAAATACAAATACTGCTTCCATAAAAGTATTTAATTACAAAGTATTTGAATAGGTACTTTAAAGGATTTGAATACTAAAAAGTATTTACAAAATCGAGTACTGCCCAGCTCTAGGTGTTGGGTAAGAAGATGAGGAGGATAATGGAGGGGGCAGTGAGGGAAGATCAATTTCAATTCCGATGTGGTTGGAAACCAGGATTGGAATATCTAGAACGACGAAGAACTCTGTGAAACACGAAAAACTGTTAGAAATTTTTGGGGCAAGGGTGTGGATTGGGGAGAGAGAAGATTGATCAGCAACTTGTACGCAACGCAGGAGAGGTATAGGACTGAAGGTGGGTGATAACATGACTGAATTGTTTGAAATGGGAAGATGAGTTAGGTATGGATGTTGTCTATCACTATAACTTTATTTAATATCTATATGGAGGATATGGTGAGGAAGTGCTGGGAAAGGAATAAGAGCAGGTGGCAGAAATGTAAGATCAGCTAGATTTCCTGATCATATATGCTGAAAACACACGGGCATTAAGTTTAATATTGAAACGACTGGAAGAAATGGAAAACACGTATATGGATTGAGAATTAACCGCAAAACGTCGTAGGGAATCAAAATTGGAGCGGAGGAAGTAATGGATGTCAGAGTAAGGGGAGAGAATGGACATTAAGTAAAAGAGAATTAGAAAGATTGGAACCATTCGAGATGTGGACTTGGAGGAGGCCAACATCACTATGCATCCCACTCAAATTGGCCGTGGAAAGTAATCGATACATAATCTCAACCATTTTAGACAATGAAAGGGTAGAAAGTGAGCTTAGAATTAAACTGGTACAAAGGATCATTAGATGATACTAAGGAATCCAATACCAAAGCGACAGTTTACTTAATCATCTGAATACGCTTGGGGGTCGTTTCCTTATTAACCGCCTCTAGGCTTGATTTAGTTATCCAAGGCGGCGCAGAACCCTCGTTTATTCCGTGCGTAACGAGAAGACCGGAATCGCATTTTGGAAGAGGTAGGTAATTGCGTTCGGTGCACCTCGAGGTGAACTTGAACTCGAAAATAATTATAACCTCGAGCGCGAAATTCCATCAATCTCCCGCTTGCATAACGAAATGGGTCGATGCTGTGGCCTAGATTTGACCTGACCTAGGCTATAACGAGAGAATCTCCACATTTGCGACTTTTTCACAAATGCGATTTGGACGAAATCCAAGACGTGCGAGATTTGCGTGCGGACCGACGGCATCGACGTCGTCTACAGCATCCGAGAAGAATTACCTACGATTAAATGCCGTATCCTAGTCCGGAGATCGATACGTAAAACTGTGCCAAGGAAAAGCGCAGAGTCCGTACTGACGTGACGACGCGGTATCAGGGATTTCATTCAGGTTGGTGTTTTGGCCAGTCGGCTGTTGTAGCTGATGTCGATAGTACACCGCGAGCGCGCTCTTCGTACTTTAAACGTCGTCGTAATGTAGCAAGGATCTTCAAGTACGTGGTGGGTTATCAAATGTGCGTGCGGTGATAATTTTTTCGATAATAAGTCAATTCATTTTGAGCTTCGGTGCGTCTAATGGATATTGTTCGAATTTTGGATATTCTATCATAAGAGGTAAGTCATTTGCAAAATTTTTATATAGGCGAAACGCCGAAATTAACATGGGGGTGCTAATTACTGAGTTTTTCACAGCTTAAGTTGGCGGCCAGTTGATCGATTTAAAACGAATTTTACCAAAGGCGCATTAGGAATCATCCCTTACTGTTTTGCCTTGAATTGAGCTGTAATTTGCATTTTTCATTTTTTTAATTTTGTTTGCTCTAAGCGGTTCATTAACAATTTAACACATCGTCAGCGTGAAAATATGCGCACCTTCGTTTTTCAAACATCGTGTTTACGTAAATTAAGTTTTACGTGTTGAAGTGGACTTGCTTTTGAAAAAAAAATGACCAGTATTACTCGAACCTTTGTCAGAGTAATTTATGGTATCGAATTTGACGTGTGGGTTTCACCAAATTTGTCTTTACAATAGGACGCGATAAGAACCCAATTATCTAACTGTACCTTAATGTACCAAAATAACAACAATTTGGTAGAAACACAAAATTTAATTTAACTAACCTCCCAACTAATGATTTATTTGAGAAGGAAAATTTTAATTTGAGGTCTTCTGTGTACTTACTTATCTTAATGAGAAAAATTAAAATAATTAGCCAATTATGCGCCCTTATATATGATTCACCCACCAACTTGAGGGAATCGCGAATTTTGCCATATTAATTGTTTGTGGGTCGTTCTGCGAAGTTGTAAAGAAACTTTTCCCTGTATGAGTTCTCGATAAACCATACAAAAGTTAGACAATTACGTAATAAAAAATCAATTATGATAATATGATAGGGTTAACATATTGACCGCGTAGAATTCCACTATTTTTTTATTGCTACTATATTTAATTTTTTTAAGCTCAACAATTTTTAACGCAACAAGATATTTTAATAAAAAAAAACAAAGAAGAAAATGTTAATATTGATCTAATTTAACAAAAGCATGTTTTTCCGGAACAAAAAGTAAAAGACCAACATATTGTTGTGTATGGGGGTGTTGTTTCTCTAGGTCGAAGATGAGAGCGGGCCACTTTATAGTGCTGTTAAAGTGGTAATTGTTTAATTCACTTAATTCTATTTGTTGTATTGAGTTTGTATGATAAATGGAGGATATTTAAAAAAATGTTGACATGAGTCAAAAGTTTTATCTGGTTAAGTGTTGATAAAAAGTGGTTATTGGACAAGAATTAAATTGGTTTTTCTGAGAAAGAATGTCACGCGCGAGATAAGCAATGCAAGTGTCTTTTAAGTTCGTAGGCTTAGAGAGTGTTTAAAATTTTGTGAAGAAGTTTTTACTCGTGGAATTTCGAGGAAAAGTCTTACTATCCAAGCAGTCACATAAAAATAAGTGTTTTTGTTTCTGAGCTGAATCGGTCAGATTCGTGTTTGACGTGTGTGATTCGCGGAACATCGCGTATTTTTTATCCTGACCAGTTTATTGGATTATTATTAACATAACTACTGTGAGTACTTTTTGAAATCTCTTAAATTGTTTTTAGATCGACGGTTTGCAAACGAGGTGTATTCTATTCAAAGGCCACTGTTAGTCTTAAATTTTTGTCTTACCCGATTTTCTTTTGTTTCATTTTCTTAATGATGTGCCTTAAAATAAAATCTTGTAATTTTTCATTATGTGTCAATTTGAAATCCAGATACTGTATTATTTTTCTGTCTCTAATTTCTTTTTATCCGAATGTTATTTTCGATTTTATTCAAAAAATTTGGGTAATGATTTCGTTGGAATTTACGGAATTTGTAGAATTATTGCCATACGAAATAAATTGTATACTTCGAGGCAAAAATGCAAGATTGATTCCCAAATGAAATACTAAGTGCTTAGTATATAACTGTTTTGTAATTTTTTCCTCTATCGAATGACATACAAATCCAATATGGCGTCCATAAGCAATAAGAAAGTTGATGTGATTTACTCGAAACTCACAAGTGATAAAAAATTTATTTTAGCACCATCAGAAAGTTGAGAAAAAATTACTAAGTGTTTGTTAATAGTTATTTGTACAACTAGAGAAGAAAGTGGGGGTTTTTCAACTCGAGTTGAATACATGAGCGTAGCGAGTGTGTTAATTGAAGGAGTGTTGAAAAATACTTTCTTCTCAAGCTTTACACATGTTTTTTTCTGAAACTACAATCAAAATTAAAAATTATCGTATGCATGCAATAATAAAGTTTGACACAGAGCAATCTAGATAGAGTATGTTTCAATTTTAAATGTCAAATTAACGCAGCAATTGTTTTTCACTTTCCTCGCTAGAGAGGAAAATCAAATTTTCTTCACCCTGTTTAGAAACGAAAGTAGTTGTTTCTTAGTTTCAGAAAAAAACTATTTTTTGATATTTTTGAAAATAAATAAACGCCGGCGCATTTTCGAAAATGACATTTTTCGGTTTCGTTATCTGTATCTACAGTTACAAGAAACTTAAGAGAAACTTAATCTATATAAAATTCTGCAATTCTTTGCCCATTTAAGCGATTTAGTAGAGGGGGGATACTAATGGCGTTCAAAAATGTAAGAACACCAGTAAGAATATTTGAGTATCCTAGCAAGTTTATAATTTTGCGGTGTCCGTCTGTCCGTTCTGCACGATATCTCGACAACGAATTGACCGATTACGATGAAATTTTTCGGGTACAGTCCTTATCAAATTTGTAGATCGGAGAATTGGCAATGTAGACCACGGTAGACCATTTCCCTATTTTCGTTAGTTATGAACCGAATTGCATAAAATTCAAAATGAGCATAGTTTTAGCCATATAATACGCAATTCCAAGCTATAGCCATACCCAGGAGTTCGTTTGCTATATTTGATTAATTTTTCATTATTATTTGGCTTTCGTTTAACATAACAATCTGCTGTCAAGGAGTTTACTTCCTTCTCAAATTTGTTTCGTGTCTCTTCCGGTTTTCATTTGTCTTAATCGATTGGGCGTGATCGTGATTTTTCTAAGGAAACACAATAGTTATTATTATATATTATTATTATAGTTTGATTGACTGAAACCAAACTTATCCTCTCTTTGTATATCGATCACGATATTTGTGGACAATTCATCGAGTAGTCGTACACATTTCCTTACACCAATTCAGACAGAGAGATAACGACAGATTTTGTGCGATGATTTTTAAACGCAATGGTTAGAACTAGCGTGTAAACGTATGTCATACGCCTGTTGAGCAGTCCGTTCTATTTTTATGTAATTATGTACACAACAAACAATACTTATTTACATAAAAGTCCGGAAAATGATACATTACTGGCGAGGAAATATTGAAGTGCGAGGCCCTTTGGGGCCGAGTACTTTAATTTCCGAGTCGGGTTTACTGACGAGTTTTTGTATTAAATTTTACCCGAAATCGTATTTTAATATAAAATTTCAATTTTTATATAAAACTTTTGATTAATGTCAGTCTGTCAGTGATGACAGGAGTCATTATATAGACATTTGGAAATGTCACAAATGTGGCCGGTAAAGAGACGGTGCGGCCGGTAAAGTAACAGGTGCGGCCCGAGGTGCGGCCAGTAAAGTGACAAGCGGCAGGAAACGTAGTAGGCATGAAAATGAAGGTTTCAGGACGATTTTGGGTAAAAGTTTATCATAAACGTCTGCCATTAATACATTTGACATTTCATATTGACAAACATTTGCCAATCTTTTTGAACATTACATAATGCTACCATGCGATTAGACAACGAAAAACGTCTGTCAATGTGCTAGATTATTATTTTTTCTCCAATATTATTTTTAAATTGATAGCACACGTTTATTAATAAACTTTTATTTGTAGTGTTGCCAAAGTGGAAACATTACATAAAATTAGAACGGACTACTCAACAGACGTATTATACGTTTACACACTAGTTCTAACTAAATCATCGCACAAAATCTGTCGTTATCTCTCGGTCTATTTTCAGAAAAATGTGTAGGTTGACAGGTTAGATCCATAAATGAGCAAAAAAGTGTCCAATCCAATATAGCTAGAAGGGCTTGAGATCTACTTAAGTGATAAAAAGCGTTGAATTATTATGAAAACTTTTAGAAAACAATTGAAAGCGTCATATGACTTTTTTTGTGCTCCTAACTTTTAAGGCTTAGGAGAACACTAGAAGCTACTCGGAGGCGATATAGAGAAGAATTTCAAAAAAATTCATCAGACCTCCAAAAGACTTCCAAAACTGAAACATACCATTGAATTCTAAAAAAATTCAATCAACTTCCAAAGAAATCCATTGAATTCCAGTGACTTCCAAAAAGAATTCCAACGAATTCCAGGGAGAATTTTAAGTCGATATTAATGAGATGTTAAAAAGAATCGATATTTTGTTTATGTACCTACATATTATGATTATTTATTTGCTTTTTATAACGTTTTAAGGGGGAAAAATTTACTTTCATGATTGTGAAGATCAGTGACGCGATAATTTAGTTAATTTTGACTCATGCTCATAGAACGTGTGGTTCCAGCATGTGAATACTGCTTCTATTACCTACTTCTTTCTCTCTTACACTTCTTCCCTCCATTCTTTTTGCCGCGATTTATTATAGAAATAAGTCGAATATATAATATATAATAAATATAATATATAATAAATAATAACATATAATAAGATAACGGAAACCCTCAGCGTACCAGAATGAAATCAATCGGTTCATGCAATAGCAGAGTGCGACATCAACGCATAATAATAATACTATATTATTTTGCAGAAAAATGTTTACAATATTATATTACAACAAAGAAAAGTTAAAAAAATTCTATAATCCAATCGAGCCCAAATTGTTAAATCAATAAAAAGTAAGCCACAATCTAAACGATAGCTTGTAAATAGACTTAGAATTCGAAATGAATTCCAAAAATTTGATGAATTCTATAAGAATTCCATGAATTGCAAGACGTTGTACACCAGAATTCCACAGAGGGTTGCCCCTCGGGTTTCCAAGACTTTCTGCGTTTGTTTAGAGACTCTCCCGTCACAGCCTTCGAGACCTATC